CTGTAAACAAACAACGTAGATTATTAACGCTATCTATATACATAGTGGCTCTGTAAACAAACAACGTAGATTATTAACGCTATCTATATACATAGTGGCCCTGTAAACAAACAACGTAAATTATTAAAGCTATCTTTATACATAGTGGCCCTGTAAACAAACAACGTATATTATTAACGCTATCTATATACATAGTGGCTCTGTAAACAAACAACGTAGATAATTAATGCTATCTATATACATAGTGGCTCTGTAAACAAACAACCTAGATTAGTATCGCTATCTATGTACATAGTGGCTCTGTAAACAAACAACGTAGATTATTAACGCTATTTATATACATAGTGGCCCCGTAAACAAACAACCTAGATTAGTAATGCTATTTATATAGATAGTGGCCCTGTAAACAAACAACGTAGATAATTGTTAAATTGAATGAGACTTACCTGTAAGTTGAAATTTGATGTCAATTCTGTTCTCCCCTCTGCAGGTACATAGAGGTTACATGAGATGCGTGCGCATGCGTACAGTAATAATTCAAAGAAGTGAGGAAACACTTAATGTGCACTGGTTAAAACCAGTGTACCAGACTCTGGCAATAACTAAAAAGATCAAGAGATCTTTCACTCAAACGTCCCAGAGTTAAAACCTCCACAACATATATAAACTAAAGACAAATGGAGGGTAATAAAAAGGGTGGGTTGTAACCCCTAGGTACCTGCAGAGGAGAGAACAGAATTGACATCAAATTTCAACTTACAGGTAAGTCTCATTTAATTTAACAATTCTGTTCTCTTCTCTGTCGGTACTAGGGGTCACATGAGATGTTCAAAGAGAGTGTTTCCGAACTGGTAAAATAGAACCAGAAAAACGACAAAAACACAGAAAACCAATTTAACCTGTGTAATAAACTCAACACATAATACATATACATGTATGTAAAACAAACGTGATATCGACTGCACAGTCGCATTAAGTTGTAAACAGTTCTTGTCACTCCATAATGAATGAAACACAAGTAAATTTACCCCATGTATTGTCCATATTAAATGTTGTAGGTCTAGGATAGTTATTACAGTTTCCACACGATAATAAGGTACATGTATGTACACTATATACATTACATTAAACTGTTCTTTGCAGTACTGTCACTGAGCAATATCTATGGGGCAGGGACACTCTCACTTGGTAACAGTCCTGCTTGTTGTACCAATGGCTTGTGATAAAATTTTCCAAAAACACTAGTGGAATTCCATCCTGCTGTTTTCAGAATAGTTTGAATGGGGACATGACCCCTTGATGCTGCTGAGGTGGCTGCAGCACGAGTGCTGTGTTGGGTGAAGATAGTCATATCAACCCCTGAACTACCAAGGACGCATCTGATCCACCTGGCTATAGTGGCCTATACACTGCTCGATGTGGTTCCTGGTAACTTATAAAAAGTTTAGTAGTGTCTTTGCGTATCGTCCTGGTAAATAGAAAGTGTGTGGACTATACACAGCTCCTGTTCCGCAAAGGCTGGCAAAAGGAGCTCTGCCTGGTGAAAACCAGGTCTGGTCTGTTTTAATACATCCCTGAATCGGATTTTAACATTGTCTTTAGTTAATGTCACATTTCGTATATCCACTAAATGCAATGCCTGTGTCCTCAGTGCTGAAAGCAATGCCAACAACACCACTGTTTTCATAGACAGCATTTTCAGTGTAGCATCCTAAACAATTATACTTTTTATATGTTCCAATACAATCTGAGGATCCCAAATCACCTGGTTTTTTGGTAACGCTGGTCTTAGTTGAAACACACCATTCACAAATCTTTTAATAATCGGTAATGTACCGCATGGCTGCCCATTTATAGAAATGAAGGATGATAGTGCAGACCTCACAGTATTAATTGTGCTGTACCCTGCCCCTTTGTGATATGCTTCTGTCAAAAAGTCTAAAATAGTTCCCACAGGGGGTGAAAAGGGATCGATACTCCGTCCACCTGCATAGTCCATCCATTTGGCAATGTATACATCATATTGTCTTTTAGTTGTACTTCGCCATGACGACATGATGATGTCTTCAGTCGCTGCCGAAGGTTGGTAGCTTTGAATCGATTTGCGGAAAGCCGACAGGCCAGTAGACGGGTCCTGGGAAGATCTATGATTTTCTTTGACGGATGAGACAATGTCCGATGATCCCTAGGTAAAACAAAAATACAATCAACAAGGTGTTTTGTTAGTTTTGAAAACCATGATTGAGTAGGCCAATGTGGCACTACCAATGTTACGTCTGGCGTATTGTCGCACTCTATCTTTTGTAGAATTTTTCCAATTAGTGAAAATGGTGGGAACATATACATGTGCTTGTCCCACATCATAGAAAAAGCATCAACAGTGAATGCAAATGGATCAGGTTTCCATGAAACATAATTTGGTAGTTGTGCATTAAGCCTAGATGCAAACAAATCAAGGTCGGGTACGCCCCAGACATCAGTGATGGCTTTAAAAATCATCGTGTTTAATTTCCACTCACTCTTGGGCTCTGCAGAGCCTCAATGTTTACCGGACGTGGGTAGGCAGACAATTTTTGTTTTAACTTGTCCTCCGCCATTCTTTTCGTCAGTGTATTGTTTACTAGACCGACAACTGTCGTATCGGTAATGGCGGCGCCTGTCACATCATCTATGGAGAAATCTTGCTCCATCTCAGTTAAAAACTCGGGCACTTTAGTGTCAGTATTAGTTGTTGCCGTTGGTATAAGTTTTGGTGCGGCTAGAAGTTGATCAATTTGATCGCACACGTCAACTTCAGACTCGGTCTCCGAGTCGGGTCCATCATCACTATCGGACACATGAGAGTCACACGCACACCTCTGCTCCGTCAACAAAATCCGCATAAGTTGTGTCTGTTCTTTTGCCTGTTGTTTCATTATGGCCTGCATGGACATAGTGAATCCAGACACTAGTCTTGATAAGGACATGAATTCTGATGAAGTCACATTGGTTGACTCCATCACCTCAGGCACTGACTCAGGTTTTGTAATGGTTTCGCACCTCGGCGTGGCCGCCATTTTGCCTTCTTTGTTGATGATTTTATCAACTTCCACGGGAACCTCGGCCCCCTGTTTTGCGGTAGAGGCGGACGATCGCTTTGTAGTCCTAGAGGCCTCTATTTTAGGTCCTTCCATTGTGGAGAAAATCTGCCCAACGAGATCAAACTCGCTAACAATTTTTTATGAAGACGGATTACTGTTTGTGGCGGCCATGCAGGCACGCTCCCGCCTCGAGAAGCTCGCCTCCACGGAGGACGAGAAAATCCAAAAACAGGGACTCAACATCTCTATCGGACCAAAAAACGACGACAAACTGTTCTGTAGTCACACTACAAATTGTCGTAACGATCAAAATGCGCAAATAGAGAGTTTTGATCGCCGAAAAACAATGTAAAATGTTTGTAAACAAAGCAACGTGCTTTCAATGACTGTAAACAAACACGCTATGACTGTACGCATGCGCACGCATCTCATGTGGCCCTAGTATCGACAGAGAAGAGAACAGGCTTAACGCTATCTATTTACATAGTGGCCCTGTAAACAAACAACCTAGATATAGGCATAGTTTCCCAACAAACTAGATCATTGTGCTATCCACATCCACTACATATCAAATTACTAAATTAAAGTCAATAGCTAATGGTGGATCTCGTCCATAACAAAAATCACACGACTTATGCATGTCATTCAAGAAAACAAAATAATGGCAACCTTCCAATATGATGAAAATGATAAAATTTTGACGACATTTGTCTTTATGTTGTTATTGCTTTTAAATATCGGGCAGTTAAGTGTAGGGTATTTAACCCTGATTATTCTATTAAACTTTAGATTGATGGTGTTTGTGTGACATGAAGGTAGAGGTATTGTGTTCTAATTAGAAATGATTCAATATGGCTGATGAGTTTGCGGAAAGCTCAACACTTTCAAAAATATATTATCAACTTACATACATACAATGTTTTATAAAGATGTGAAATGTGTATTATACAATACTTCCATTTACGCCTTTGACCGTAAAAAAACCGTGACAATTTTCCTCACTACTAGTAAACATTTCATGACAAACTGCCCTATACCATTAGAACAACAAACTGCCCTATACCATTAAAACAACGTCGTCAGAGGAACATACCTAAAGGCAGAGATCAAACCCTTTCTCGATTACACTACAATCGAGAGTGCAATTACATATAGTTTTATTTGAAGAATGTTTTAGTTTCATATTTAGTATTTACACACATTTGTATGTGGTAGATAATATAACCATCAATTTTGGATGGGGGTTCCAAAACTGCCCCTCCTTTGATTTCAATTGTTTTGGTGAGGCGAAGACCTAATCCTTATCATAACAAAAACACCCATTAAAATTCAATTGAGCACTTGGTACGTTTTTCGTAGAAGCATAAAACTGGAATTCCCAAAAAGCCGTAGTTTTTCTCCGAAAGACGAATATTTTCAAACTAACATCGCACTGAAGGATCATTTATGATGCAACCGAAACTAGGGATCAAATACTACTTGCTTTGGTTAGTTATCAGATAATGTTCAGACAAATCAACAGCCAGAAGCCATCTCAGGCAATGATATTTTTCAGACAAAAAATGTGTTCATCTTAAAATAAAAGTAACTTATAACTTTTGTATACCAAATATATTTCGATTATAGATGGACTAGGTCCTGAACTACCAGTGACAAAAATATCAATCCAAAATATGTGGTGGAACATATTCAAAGAAGGGATCAAATGACTATATGGTCTATACATCAAAATGCATGATTATATGTATAGTCAAATCGTTAAGATTAAAAACTGACAGAAAAGAAGAAAATATTTGTTCCAGTTTGGATGGAATGAGTATTTCATCAACTGAGAAGATGGCCACCAAAACATTCATTTTACTGTCAGATTCATAGACAACTATCAATGGAATTCAGAGAATGTGTGTTTGTTTGCTACCTCGTGTTCCTATATATATTAAAGTAAGACGCCGTATTAACAGCCGATGACATTTACAGATAATGTTTTGCAAGATGCAAGAGTATGCAATGTGTTCAAATGGCAGACTTGGAAAAAATAAGGAAGAAAAATGATGCAAGGCGTTGAATTTTTTTAAACTGGTAATTCTAGATTCCCCAATATAAAATGACTTATTTTAAGCTTTGTCGGAACTTATTAGCCCTTGGGTGCAACTGTTTTGGATTTTGAAGATTGCTATGACAGCCAAGATAATAAAGTATATTTGATGTAGAGCACACATTCCCATAGTTCTTTGACCAACTTGGCATTGGCAGTAGTGATCTTTTATTGGATTATTATCATTTGGTGTCGTTAGTCTGGCTTTTGTGTCTTGAACAAATCTGACAACGGATGAGGTCTTGAGAGTGCTGATACACCCGTATTTCATAATCTTAACGAATTCTGACTTTGTTCTCTTGAAGAGAGCTAGTTGTGTCACCCTCTGAGCCAAACAGTTTGTTTTTGTAAGTAGAAACCTCATTTGATGCCGGTCTCTGTATTTTGTATCAGTGTCCGGTGATCTTTGATAAATTGGTCCCCGTATCCAATTGAGACATGCAGTCACAATCTTTAGCACTTCCTCAATTATATCAATGAATTATCCAATGCTTAAGACGGGCATGATATAATCCATCGGGATTTAGTAACTGTTAATGTTAGCCTGTAGATCAGAGTGTTGGCTCTGACCAGTCTTAATATATGAGGGCATACTGGTATTAATATCAGATGCCTCTAACATTGGCAGGACATCTCTAAAGCCACGATCAACGACTACATTGTCGTCTTGCTCCAACCATGTGAGCTTGTCCATGATGTTTTTTTGTAATGCTTGCATCATTTTGGCTTACAGGGAATGGTCCTACTGTGTCCAAAATGTAGCCATCAGCTAGAGCTATGCTCATGAATTTAAGATAATTACGCTCCTCCTGGCCACCGTAAGACATTCTCTGAAGCTTATGGTCAGCCCGTTTTTTAATATAAATATATGTACCATCTTTTAAGGCAGCCACTTTGTCTCCAAAGAATGTTTCTGAGAATAAAGTATTTGTGAAAGTATATGTTCCCTACTTAAATGGTCAGGACGAAGGAACACTGGAACTATAGATGTATTCAATGCTTGTACTACAGAATAAAAAGGGTTTTGAAATACCAGGCAGGGAAATGACAAAAACAGCGGAACACTTAATTACAAGAGATGTCAGTTTTTATCATAACCCAAAACAATAAAGTAGCATTGTGTGTAGTTTTGGTCTATACTGAAGAAGTAACATACTATGGATGGACTTTGAGAAAAGGTTGTTTGATCAACCTGTCCAAGCTTTGCCGAGACAAAAATTGAGAGTGAATGCTAATTGATTCTTTGATAAGATGTACGACACTTCTAAAAGGTCATCAGCTATTTCAGATGACCTAAACCATAATTAATAATTCCAAGACCCTCTTCCTTGTAGTATAACCTGTGTATAAGGGTCCAGTTCAATGCCAATAAGATGAAATGAGAAAACACGTGATGACACAGAACACAACAATTTGTGTGTAAAAATTAACTGATTCCTGGTACGTTTTTGCTGAATTGTGGATTTGCTTCCCTTCGAATTAAAATTGTTAAAAAAAAGACAACATTTTTGTATGTAAACTGGACCTGTAAAACAGGTCCTTGATTGTTAAGAGGGGAAATCTTCTAGTAGTTCATCTTCAAAACGTTCTTTTTCAGATTCTCTTTTGCGAAGATACCTTATGTTATGTAGCACTCCGGTCAAATACTAACTTCTTCATTTAAGCAATCTATGCCACTTTCAGTCAGTATAACCAAAAGCCTTTTATATTACGGATTATTCTTTGTGTACCTTTACATTTACGAGATTTTGCTAAGATACGATGGCGACCATTACCAATACATTTACTCTTCATTATGAGATGAATATTAACAAATGAGTATGAAATATCCCCTCAAAGCAATGTTAAAACGAAAGTCTGACGATAAAATTTATCAGAACAAATTCTAAAAAGGGACAAGGATGTTACATTTGATCTTAAAATTGATTAGTAAAGAAAACTTTATCAATCACGCCAAGTGAGTAAGCATATTTAAATTTGGAATTTGTTGTGACCTAACATGCACTGAAAGGTTTATTATAGGCTTGCAACGAATTTCATTACCAATTACCTGTAATCAGGTACATTGCTTTTTGGTGGACGCCAGGGAGGTGTCTTAGGCCCTCACCTTTTTGGGTACACAGGGTTCTTTGTTGTGCGAAATGAATACCTTACACCACTTTTTTTAGACTGAGTTTTTGCAAACATATTTGAAATAACACCACTTCTTCATAATATGAAAGTGTTTGGTATATAAGATTAATAAGAATGAAAAATCCTGTATTTACATTAAAATTTTCATAAAATGTTCGATTTAACTTACATTCTGGATGATAAATATATTACTTAAGCAAAAAATTCGATTTTTTCTTTCTTCAGAAAAAAACTTTCAGGCTGCAACTTCATTTTTTCGACCCCCGTGCTGTAATTATGTTAACTAATCATCTAAACAATTAGTAGAGTGATTCAAAGTAATAATATCGAATGCATAAAGGATTGAAAAGAGTTAAAACAGCAGCATAAATATCGTAGCACTTCTGAAACTAAAGTTATGAGGGGGCAGGCTTCTATGTAAATTCAACATAGCTGGAAATAGTCCCTTTCAATTTTTGTGATACAGAATTTGTTTAAACTATTTCACGGTTACAGTACATATATATCGTTTTTAAACGTTCAGATGGTACTTTAAATCCTTTCCTGATCACACTATATGACTTATTTAAACTTACATGGTACAGTATCTACAATATTAGCAGTATTACAATATCTACAGTATTACAATGTTTACAGTATTACAATATTTACAGTATTACAATATTTATAATATTAGCAGGATCTACAATATTGGCAGTATCTACGTTGAACACATTCGAGTAGAAAAGTGAAGAAAGGACTGCCTTCAACTTACTGTAAATAGTAATGTTTAAGCAGGAAAACAGACATTTTCGCACATCATTGGTTTTTCTTTAGGAGTGAATCATCCCATTACTATTTTGCTGTAATGTTTATTGACTTTTATTTCGATATCTTATTTCCTGGTGTATATTTGTGGAAGTACCAGAATAGTTTTATAGCATTCCCGCGACCTAGCATACGAGTGTGTCGAGTGTCGGCCACTGACTGATTATACATGGCATCGTTATACGTAAAGCTCAACTTTCATACTTGAATGTTTTGGTCCTGTCCAACCATATTCCGGCCACGATAGAACCTGCTACTCCGGCCAACACTATGGTCAGTCCTATCAGTCCGGCGTTCTCTTCTTCGCCCTTAAATTAAGATTTATTATTAGGAGAATATTCATATAATTATCATCGTTTAATATTCCAATTTCTAATCAAGTTGGACTCAATGCAACTACCAATTGTTACCTGTTTTCATTTGCCGATGAATTTGACCAGATTAACATTGCCTGTGCGCATAATTTTGCAAAGGGAGGTAACTATTGACATATTTTAGCATACTTGTAAACAAAGTAGATGCCACTAGTGTGAGATTTTACAGTTTTATTGAAGCTACACAACAAATAGTTAAAGCGATCAAAACATTCAATCAGCAAAACATTATCAACTGTTGGTGGCGGTAATTGACAAGTCATGTACTGCCCTAGACATTTCCCCTCCAGCCACCCCACTGCCTCTTGTGTCGGTGTCAACCCCGGTACATATCGAAAACAACGTGGATCACACATCCAAGTGGTCACGTCATATTATGAAATGCAGTCGAACAGCTAACTTCCATATCAAATCGTTTCGTCCTTTCAAACCACGTTAGTTTCCTGTCTAATTCGGCTTGATTACTACAGCTTCACAACCTCGGAATAAGCGACCTTCCACTTCCAGCTAGTAAAAAGAAGGCTGCCGTTGACTCGCGGCTAAACCTGCGCACCACATCTAGACATTATTCCTCCGCGATGACACGTCAGAACATATTGTATTTAAACTTATGAATTAACCAACAAAACTTGAATATAACATTTAAAACATTTTATTTTTTGTGTTTTGTGTCTTCATAATTTGGCTGTACAGAACTATCAGCGTACACCACCATGTTGTATCATGTCATTAATGGTCCTTCAATAACGGGCTATATTTTGTTTTTTTCATGATTTGGCTGTATTGAACTATCAGCGTACACCATCATGTTGTAAGATGGTCCTTCAATGACGGACTAATTTTATTCTAGTTCCAGTTATTGAAAAAACCCACTTGTAGATTGAAATATAAGGTTTGAATCTTGCTTTGATTGATTCTATGGGGTATTTAATTGAGTTGGTCTTGAAACAAAGTCATGAACTGCATCGCAGTTCATTAAAGTTTGAAGACGTTCTCAATTCATCACCCCTTGAAATCGACTAAAGCAGGATTCAAAACTAAAATGAAATATGAAACGAACAGAAGTTATTCCCTGTATAACACATTTCATGAAAAGTTCATGAATACCTATATCAACTAAAGCTAAACAAATGACATTTCGCATTGGCGAATACAGCGACTGGCTGTCGAAGGCTTTCGGGTTCAATAGAAATTGATCAATTTGGAAAATAGTAAAGTAAATGAAAGCTAATTTTGTGGAAAGTCCCTGATACTAACAATGTACCAGTAAACCTGTACGTACAGGAAGTAGTTTAGGACCACGGGGATAGGTAACGATGATACGGACAATGTACCAGTAAACCTGTACGTACAGGAAGTAGTTTAGGACCACGGGGATAGGTAACGATGATACGGACAATGTACCCGTAAAACTGTATGTACCGGGAAGTAGTGTATGACCACGGGGATAAGTAACGATGATACTGACAACGTACCAGTAAAACTAGACGTACCGGGAAGTAGTGTAGGACCAAGGGGATACGTAACGTTGATACTGACAACGTACTAGTAAAACTGTATGTTCCGGGAAGTAGTGTAGGACCACGGGGGTAGGTAACGTTGATACTGACAACGTACTAGAAAAACTGTACGTACCGGGAAGTAGTGTCGGACCACGGGGTTAAGTAACGTTGATCCTGACAATGTACCAGTAAAACTGAACGTACCGGAAGTAGTGTAGGACAACGGGGATAGGTAACGTTGATACTGAGAACGTACCAGTAAAACTATACGTACCGGGAAGTAGTGTAGGACCAAGGGGATAAGTAACGTTGATACTGACAACGTACCAGAAAACTATACGTACCGGGAAGTAGTGTAGGACCACGGGGATAAGTAACGTTGATACTGACAACGTGACAACGTATCAGTAAAACTGTACGTACCGGGAAGTAGTGTAGGACCACGGGGTTAAGTAACGTTGATACTGACAATGTACCAGTAAAACTGTCCGTACCGGGAAGTAGTGTAGGACCACGGGGTTAAGTAACGTTGATACTGACAATGTACCAGTAAAAATGTACGTACCGGGAAGTAGTGTAAGACCACGGGGATAAGTAACGTTGATACTGACAACGTACTAGTAAAACTGTATGTACCGGGAAGTAGTGTAGGACCACGGGGTTAAGTAACGTTGATACTGACAACGTACCAGTAAAACTGTATGTACCGGGAAGTGGTGTAGGACCACGGGGATAGGTAACGTTGATACTGACAACGTACCAGTGAAACTNCGTGACAACGTATCAGTAAAACTGTACGTACCGGGAAGTAGTGTAAGACCACGGGGATAGGTAACGTTGATACTGACAACGTACCAGTAAACCTGTACGTACCGGGAAGTGGTGTCGGACCACGAGGATAAGTAACGTTGATACCACGGGGTTAAGTAACGTTGATACTGACAACGTACTAGTAAAACTGTATGTACCGGGAAGTAGTGTAGGACCACGGGGATAGGTAACGTTGTTACTGACAACGTACCAGTAAAACTGAATGTGCCGGGAAGTGGTGTAGGACCACGGGGATAAGTAACGTTGATACTGACAACGTCCCAGTAAAACTGTACGTACCGGGAAGTGGTGTCGGTCCACGGGGATAAGTAACGTTGATACTGACAACGTACCAGTAAAACTGTACGTACCGGGAAGTGGTGTCGGACCACGAGGATAAGTAACGTTGATACTGACAATGTACCAGTAAAACTGTACGTACCGGGAAGTAGTGTCGGACCACGGGGATAAGTTACGTTGATACTGACAACGTATCAGTAAAACTGTACGTACCGGGAAGTAGTTTAGGACCACGGGGTTGAGTAACGTTGATATACCATAGTAACAGCCAGTATTGATACCTGAAAATATATAACAATTTTATTAATTGAAAATCACAAATGATTCAAGGAGTTATATAACAATTAACATATAAGAACACAGTAATTTTCATAATAATTTTGCGCCAAACTTCCCAAAATGAGATACCAGGGGCCTCGGTGGCCAAGTGGTTAAGGCGTCTGACATTCTGCTACCACAAGCCCTCCACCACTTGGTCGTGGGTTCGAGGCGTACCCAGTCACCAGGTACTGGCCGTACGCGTAAGTCGGTGGGGTTTTCCCGGGAACTGCGACTTTCCTCCACGACCATAGATGTTAATAGGACGTAAAACACAAGCGAACCAAGTGATACCAGAATTAAACAATGAAAATTATTTCGCTTCATCAAAATTATGAAGCGCACTTGCGCTGAAACAAAAACAATACAAAAATTGCCGTAGACATTTTCGGTAAACTTTGTTACGAATTTTAACAGAACAATTATAAAAAAGAGATCGTACCATGTTCGATAGTTCTATGTCAGTTCGATCTTTTCTCTTATCTGTTTGATTGAGCCATGTAAAAGCACCTTGAGGTATCTTTTGATCTAAACTTCATACTGCTGTGTGAAACGATAACCTTCAAAGTGAGTTTGTCACATTTCACATATTTACTAGTACAGTACGTCATGTGACAGAAATAGAACCGTTCATTGCAATATAAACAAGATCTGTTAACTATTTCCCATGGTCATCTTGTTTTCATGATCAGTCCCAAAATAAAACATGCAGAACTAAGGACCAAGGGGAACCCACATACCAAATGAGGGGTGCCAAATTGGGCCTTCCGGTAGCTATCACCGATAAGTTTCATTGTTTGTGCATACATACGTTGGGGTTATTCAATCATGTTATGATCTGAAATTAAGGTAAGCTTGGAGATCATTCCGAGATATGAGGGGGTAAAGTGGCGTGGTACCTAATGCACTTCCCGTCATAATGAACACCGCTTTCCTCAAACCGTGTGTCAACCCCGGCCTTTCCGTTATCCAGAATCATCATCCCTCGACTTCACCGTACATTGTTGTAAACTTTCTCTATGTAGAATCGTCTAATATGTTAAATTATAGCTCATTCGCAAATTTAACCGCTGTTTCTTCAATGCTTTTCCCAACAAGGTCGTTCAAGCTGGATGAAGCGGCCGTGGGAAATCCACGTGAATTTGTTTCGAGATCACCGATGACGTTGCGATGTAACGTCATATCAGACATTTCTCATTTTGAGGCAGACCTACCACGTAGCCAGAGACGGACACAGAGAGTAGTAAAATCAGGGAACATCTCAAAATTATTTTTTTCATTTCATCTGTATTAAGGATTCCTGTTCCCTGTTTGCGACAAAACACTAAAGAACGATATTTTAGTGGTCCTTATAACCTACAGTAACATCCACTGATTTTCATTACAAACTTCTCTTGGCTGATATCACCGTTCTGGGGGTTATTTTCAGATTTTTTTTTTTTAAATTATGGTTTATACTGAAAACAAAGACTCGGTGCATGCTAGAGTTGATCGCAGTAGTACAGAATTCTTAAAATTCACTCCCCTGAAATGATCCCTAGAACAGTCTTCTAGGAATAGCATAAATAGGTCTTTGTCTCCACGCTCCGTGCTAGGTCTATCCCAAAATGAGAAAGGTCTATTACTACACTAAATGATTCGCTAATGTGCGCATCCAACCGTGTGCACTGTGATGACGCGTTTTTTTCCATTCTTTCCTTTTTCATGATTGATACGGACGGTTCTTAATAATCATAAAAAAACAATAAATGAAAAGATTATTAAAACAAATCTTGAAAATTAAGTGTATGTAAGCATACACATAATGTATGCTACGCCGCTGGCATGTCTTACATGTGTATTGCGCTCCTTACTTTGTGCTGCAGTCTTCCTGCATTTAAAACAAATGAGACTGTCCTCGACGATGAATTTTCCCGCATGTTCGGTAATATCTTTGTCATAATAACAGTTCTTTTCTTTTGCCTTGCCTTTTTATTATTCTGACAATCCCTTATATGTTTGTATCTCGGCATCATTTGTTTGTGTTTAAATGATAAATAAAAATACTAGTGCCAATTGGAGGGTAAAACAATTTATAAATAAAAAAAAATTGTATCTGAAAGTTGATTCGAACCTACACCGTTCACTTCTTCTGGTCACAAGCTAACTGCGTTACACATTAGGCTACATCGGATATAAATGAATATGGAAATACAAACTGTTTTGGAGAAACTTGATCGACCCTATTTTTCATTATATTGAGCACTTTCTCAAAGGAGGACCACTTTTCCGTCAAACGATTTGTTTTTGCATATTACATCACGAAATCAAAAAGTTTATTCAAAAGTTGGTCCTCGGATGGGAAAGTATTGAAAGTATTTTTTTTTAAGTCTGGGAAACCCCGCCACTTTCATGCATACAGTGAATATGGCTATATTTGCAATATCATATCAACAATACCTAATATCTCAACTGTTCCAAAATTCATATTCAATTGGTTTTATATCTATTCTATACACATTTGCTACTTTAAATTATTTACTCATCAGTATTTTTTTCTGTTTTCAAAAATGCCGACTTAGGGAAATACGGGCAGTTTTCCGCCATAGCTCTTTATGAATTAATGAAAAAAGTTCGTGATTTAAATGATGGTTTTTGGTTTTCCTTCCCATTGATAGTGATTGGGAATTATAGGGATTGAAACTGATTTTTTCCAGTGTTCATTACTTACACACTTTACATGAACGGCCTTCGCTTCTCTACGGCCGATCATGTAAGTAAATTATCCCCGAACCAGATTCTATCTCTATATGAACGCAAAACGGTTACATCCATATTATATGAAGCCCACAAGGGATTACTGTTTAATATGGATGTAACCGATTTGTTCAATCCATATATTGACAGTTTTAATGTAGAACAATTGTTTAATTTAATTTATTTGTTTTTAAATAATTAATTTATTACTGCGTTCTGTATATGCGTCGTCCTTTAAACGATATTGGCGGAACAGTCCTATCTAAATAAAATTGGCGCCAATAACTAACCGTAGTCGTTTTACGCAGGGGTGTACGTATTCTCCATGTTATTCGAAATGAAGCGACAAGACTCTCATTGAACAAGGTTAATCTACGACGTCATAAGTAAACCACGTGTTACGTCACAAGAGTGTTTGCTTTCATACTCAAATGAAATGCATTTCTGTTGGTAAGGTTCATATAGTGGGTTTCAGCGCAAATGTCAATACAATTAAATATCAGTGAACATATTCAGGACGATCACATAAATAGTTTTCAGTTGATGCTGCCAGGGTCCTCCGTGAAAACTTCACAACTCACCATATGTTATAGTCAATATGACAAATCCTCTGTTTTTGAACAAGTTCAAAAGAGATTTCCCGTAATGTTCATTCGCTTCGTTTTCCACAGCAATCATCTGTGCCTTACTAGGCGGTGTGTGGGGCCTCTCTCGAAAAACTAAAAACAAAAGAATGACAAAAGAATGCGTCTTCAAAGTGATATAATTTTACTATAAATAAAAGACAAGAGTCTCGTCGACTTCCCTAAAGCTTTCTCCTCCTTAGAGGTTCATCAGGGGAATAGTTTTTTCTTATATATAGAAAAAATAAGATTTAACAACCGACTAAAAAAACTAGCTGCTTTCACCCTTCACTGGGCTTTTTCAGGTTGATTTCAAAATTACAACTTCGTGGTTTCAAAATTACATGTCATCACACTACAATAGTAACGTGACGTCACGAAGTACACACGATTTTAGTCGGTTTACTTACTTCACATGGACATTTAATCCATTTTTATAGGCAAAGAAGGAATACTGACAGTGCAGACAAAGAAAATTGTCAAATTTGTAGGGCGGTCTGCCCCTTTATCAAGACAGGAACATGAACATTTACATATCTAAACGTAAAACTGAGAAAAACAGTCACTATGAAACAATAATAAAATACAAAATACATAAACAAACAGAAGTTACTTATGTAAAATATGCTATTATACATTGTAATACAAAATCCATTAGAAGTACTACCTAAATACAGATTTCAACACGTGATATACAACTAGTGTAATAACTCATCAATTTGAACCATTTTCAAACTCATTCTCTCTAAGGAATATGGATAGGGTCTTACCTAATAGTACTAGTAGGAACAGGCCTCCGGTGACGATAGCTGTACCTATAAACATCGCCCATAGACCGGCTCCTATCTCGTCTAAGTCCTCGCTGTTTTTCACTATCAAAGGTGGTACTAGGAATCCAATAGCCACGCCGACCTGTAGGTAAGAAATACATTCTACTGTGTAAAGGGACTTTAGGTGTCTCTGCCATAACCGTAATGATAACTTAGCCGACAGTAAACTATACGAGTGCACGTCGCCTATCCTTAAGGTGTAATCAGCGTAATCTTACAGTGGATATTATTACTGTACTCTGCATACAATATTTCTGATTAATTATTCCCAGATGAACATTTTCTTTTCTTTTCTCTCTCCTAACTGTTGGATTATAGTCTTGTAATTCCAAATGTGATGTTTTGCTTCGTTACAATTTCTGTGATTTGTGATAGTAACAAATGCGACCCTAAATCAGGTCTTCATATAAGCAGTAACATCTGGGGGTTTCATTCAAAATCCCCATTTTTTTAATAAGCCTTTTGTCGTTCGAGTTGTCCCGCATTCCACACACGAAACTCATCATTAACACAGTTGATAGACCTGCAGTCTATTTTTCTTTAATAAGCTTTGTCTTAGATATATATAGAATATTTGAAAGTAAATAACATTATATGTGTAATCCACGCTATTTTCACAACATTGGCAAGTTCTGCTGTATAAATCTAAAAACTGATAACGTATGCTGTGTCCCATGTGGGTGTGCACTACGCCATCGATGTAGTGACGGTATTGGGGATTAACATTCATAAATCTCCACGAACATAACGAACACGACATGTTTACAACCAGTAGTAGGCCTACACCGCTCATAGTATGAGGCTACCAACAACTAAACCCCAACAGATGCTGGGTTGGAATTACGGCACATTATGTTTCTTGGAATTTTACTTTATGAATGTGAATGATCCGTAAAACAAAACAAGGGTGGCGAGTCTATCTAATGCCAACATCACAAACACCGGGTGTCAGCATCACAAACACCGCGTTGTTGCACCGAGTGTCTGCCAACATCACAAACACCGCGTTGTTACACCGGGTGTCAGCCAACTTCAAAAACACCGCGTTGTTACACCGGGTGTCCGCCAACATCACAAACACCGCGTTGTTTACACCGGGTGTCAGCCAACTTCAAAAACACCGCGTTGTTACCCCGGGTGTCCGCCAACATCACAACCACCGCGTTGTTTACACCGAGTGTCAGCCAACATCACAAACGCCGCGTTGTGTACTCCGGGTGTCAGCCAACTTCAAAAACACCGCGTTGTTACACCGGGCGTCAGCCAACATCACAAACACCGCTTTGTCACACCAGGTGCCAGCCAACATCACAAACCCGCTATGTCACACCAGGTGCCGGCCAACATCACAAACACCGGGTGTCAGCATCACAAACACCGCGTTGTTACACCGGGTGGCAGCCAACATCACAAACACCGGGTGTCAGCATCACAAACACCGCGTTGATACACCAGGTGTCAGCCAACCTCACAAACACCGCGTTGTTACACCAGGTGTCAACCAACATCACAAACACCGCGATGTTACACCAGGTGTCAACCAACATCACAAACACCGCCTTGTTACACCAGGTGTCAGCCAACCTCACAAACACCGCGTTGTTTAAACCGGGGGTCAGCCATCATCACAAACACCGCGTTGATACACCAGGTGTCAGCCAACATCACAAACCCCGCTATGTCACACCAGGTGTCAGCCAACATCACAACCCCCGCTATGTCACCCCAGGTGCCAGCCAACAGCACAACCACCGCGTTGTTACACCGGGCGTCAGCCAACATCACAAACACCGCTATGTCCCACCGGGTGCCAGCCAACATCACAAACACCGGGTGTCAGCATCACAAACACCGCGTTGTCTACACCGGGTGTCAGCCAACATCACAAACACCGCGTTGCTACACCGGGTGTCAACCAACATCACAAACACCGCGTTGTTACACCGAGTGTTAACACCGGCCTAGAATTCCTTGCTGACGAATCATAAAATGAAGACAGACGAGAAAATGAATAGTAAAAGCTATTCAATAAAAACCACGGGTACAATCTTCAGTTACAAAACAGATCGATCCACAAGAAGATCGTGGAGGATGTAACTGAGTATGTTATCGATGGATATGGGGATCGTGAAGCGATTGAGATGGCACTCGGTAAGAAGCGTCATGTTTTAGAATAAATGTGGGATGACCAGAAAACAGAGGACAATGACGATAGATAGTCTGAAGAAGGGGGGGGGGGGGGGGGGTGTTAAACGAGTGTATGAATCGGAAGATTGTGATGTTTTACATCCTATTAACAGCTATGGACATTTAAGAACGTGCCTGGTGATGGAGGAAAGCCGGAGTTCCCTGAGAAAAACCACCGATCTACGGCCAGCACCTGGCGGCTGTTCTACATAGGCCTCAAACCACCGACCTACGGCCAGCACCTGGCGGCTGTTCTACATAGGCCTCAAACCACCGACCTACGGCCAGAACCTGGCGGCTGCCACACGTAGGCCTCAAACCCTCGACCCAGTGGTGGAGTGCTAGTGTTAGCAGAATGTCAGATGTCTAAACCACTTGGCCACCGCGTTAATTAAAGACATTTATTACGATCCTACCAATGCTGTGAGATTCTTTGGATCTGACGAATTGTATCGATACGTGAAAAAAGCTGGGAAATACATCATCAGCAAGTAATAGATCAGAAAATGGTTAGAGCGTCAGGAACCGTACAGTCTCAGAGATCCATCCCATTCAATCGAGACAGAATCGTCGTCACGGAGACTTACGGTTGAAGGTCTGCAGATCTCATAGACATGATCAAGTTCAAGAGCAAATGAACGACTATTCCTAGGTACCCGTGGTCAAAGACATGCTCTCTGCATTTCTATGGATGAGATATCTAAAAGACAAGTAAGGGAGCTCTCTGTGAGATTCCTATACTAGCCGAGTCCTTACGGAACAAGAACTCAGATCCAATGAAGTAAACGCACTCTTGAATGAATATCACATCCAGTATATTTATACCCGAAACGAAGGCAAGACGACTGTCGTGTTAACCGACATGTGAAATGGATCCATTGGTCCGAGATGTCTAATTCGTGGATATGCGCGTCACATATAACCGATTCGTTAAATGGGAGAGTGAATTACCATAGAATGGTCTCATTTCAAGACGTCGTATTATGGGAAAGAGCGTACAACCAAATCGCTCTAGTAAGTAGTATATGACGAGGGATACTCTCCTGTAGTTGTAAATATTGTCCATTATAGAATAGGAAAATAAATTTTGTTCCAATATTTGTCTTATCGTTATCATTCTGCTTGTAACTTAAGTTGAAGAATGATCTTGAAGGACACTATAAAATGCGATTTGAACCGGTTTCAATATTGGGGAGCATACGCTGTACTCAATTAGGATTAGGACCCGATTTGTTGCCGGTCTCCCCAACCAAAGGGGAGGCCCACTAAGGGGTTCTATAGGACTATATAGGAAATTGCACTCCATGACCCTATGCCAGAAGCGGTCCTTTTCTTTCATTGCTGTGCCTATGTGACAGAACTGTCCAGGATAAGAAAAGGATGTAAGGAATTTCCATCTCACAACCCATTTCACATTTGTGACGTCACACTGGCACAACAATAACAGTCATTCATCCCCTTGAAGTGGTTTTGGGAATCCCGACCCTCGAGGAAAGAATCTTATGTTACAAAAGACTCAGCAAGCCTCATGTTTGACAATGTCACCCTCGGGTTGAGATTCCCCTTTCCCACCCCAAGAGGCTGAACTGTTCTATCATTTCCATTTTGAAATGCTTTTTTCTTCAAATGACTTAAAATAGAACGCCTGCCTGCACTTGGTGACGCCATTAACCGAAAAATATATCCATTTAAAAGACCGCGTGGGAAAATGTTCCAGTATAACCAAATCATTACAAAATCGAGAGAAGTATATTGTATAAATTATCTACTTTACTATTGAGAAGTTTAGGAGATATTCAAAGCAGCTAAGCATGGCGCATTTTTTCAAACACCCGAGTGCGCTTTAAATATATATGTAAGATATAGCCCATTGCTCTATATTTTGGAAATTACCCCAAAGCATACGAAATTACCGGACGCATGATGGAAAGTAATTTACTTCGCGTTTATATCCATGTGTAAAATGGACAAATAACATTTTTTTTAGTGACAACAACCGGGTTCTTCTTGTCGTTATCTATGCTTGTGTGTAAACTTGTCCGGCTGATCCAGTCCCGTACGAATTGTACCTGCTGCCCCCATTGTATGATCGAACGAGGCGACTAAATTTGGGATCTTATCTTTTCTCTTCTTTCTGAACAACTATCTTCTTCCCTATGTCTCCCTTGACAATGCCTCAATTTTGGCCTTTAGCTGAGCGTTCGCCTCTGTGAGGAAGACTTTGGGTTCTGTCCCTGACCAAGACATACCAGAGTCTGTAAAAATGGTAGTGTCTACTCCTGCTTCACGCTCAACAATTTAGGTGTTGGACGACTGGTTCGCCCGTTGTCAGTTTAATGTGACCGGTTGGGGTGTCCTGCTGGGTGTCTTCGGCAGTATGTTTCAGTGAGGTAGCACTATAAAGTCGGCATCAGTTCCACGCTATCACAAGGAGACAAACACGAACATATTGCAGCCTCCCAAAACAATACACTACACGCATGCATCTTGCACACAGGGGAGGCCGTCCTTAAATGACCATAGCTGTTGATAGGACTTAAAACAATACTATACCAAACAAAACCTAACTGACCCAGGCATATCACAACTGTGACGTTGCGCGGTCAATATCACTTCGGAGCGTGTGATCGGTAAGGTCGTTTTACACTGATTACAGAATAGCAAGAAAAACGCATCACCTGATTAGCTGTAAATTTCACAGCTTATTTTTTAAGACTAATTAATTCTATAAGTATCAGCTGGTAAGACGCTCAAGACATTGTTAAGTACTTTTTGAGAACAAGAGGCTCAATGGACCTGACTACCTGACCTGGTATTAAGCTTACACCAGTTACCTTCAAAGTTGGAGAGAACACATTATATCGCGCAATTTTTGCTGAAGCAACAGGACAAATA